CACCCACACACACCCACCCACACACCCACACACCCACCCACACACACACACACACACACACACACACACACACACACACACACACACACACACACACACACACACACACACACAGATACAGACACAGAGACAAACACGGAGACACAGACAGGCACACACGCACACAATCACATAAGCACACACACACCCCGGCAACCAAACAAGCAAAGGGCAGAAGGAAACAATCCAGGAGGTGTGAACCTTTGCGACGAAGGTGCCACCGGGCTTGAGCACGTGTGTTGTGATGTTAAGGGCAGCGAGGAGAAGTTGCGCCTGCACATACTCGTCAATGTCGTGCAGACCCGTCACATCTGGCGCACCGTCACAGATGACTGCACACACACACACACACACACATGGAGACAACAAGACAGGGCGAAGCATGCACAGACACGCAAATACACACACACGCACACACACACACACACACACGCACACACACACACACGCACACACACACACACACACGCACGCACACAGACACAGACAGGGATGAGGAGTTGAACAAACAAAGTAAGTGGCAGATGACACAGCATCAAGGTCAAAGGTTACACCCAAGCAGAGCATGTCCTGACCGAGATCTGCTTTTTCGCCTTCAAAGTGATCCACAATGGCGGTCGCTGTGGACTCCTGGAGCAGCGTGTATGCAACAGCAACAGCCCACATGTGCGTGTGCGTGGGATGTTGTCGAGTGAAGCGTGAGCGGAGCGGTTGGAGTGTGGAAGCGGGAAGGAGAGAACAGCAGGCCATGCACGAGAATACTTCCGCCGTAATTGTGCAAAGCTCGCTCATGTCTCCTTGCTGTTGCAAGCGCGTGCCGTGCACCTTTGTGATGTCGCCCTGCATCTGAATGATGCCATCCAGCGGTGCCATGGCTTGCAGGTCCACGGCCACGACTTTGACGTCTTCATCCTCTTGAGGCCTACAAGGTAGACGGGGGTGGGGCGAGTGCAAGTGTGCGAGTGTGCGAGTGTGCGAGTGTGCGAGTGTGCGAGTGTGCGAATGAGTGTCACTGTGAGTTGCATCAACTGTTTTTTCAATGCAGGAGACCTTCAAGTGACTGGTGCATATCCCACACACACACACACACTCCTTTGAATCGTACTTGAGTTTGCGTTGAAGCACCTGTGACCAAGAGCCTGGCGCTGCGCACAGGTCCACGACCTTCTTCACACCGCTGAACAGATCAAACTGTGTGTCCAGCTGCAGCAGCTTGAACGCGCTTCGCGCTCGCCACCCCTGTCAAGACACACACGCACACGCACACACACATACACACGCACACACACGCACACACACACGCACACGCACACACACACACACACACACACACGCACACACATTGGCACACAGCAGCGGTCAACATAGTCCTGGCATATGGCAAAACACCAGAAGACAACACCATTGGCATTTGCCCTGTGCAGCTCCGAAGCCGTGCGTTCTTTGTTCAGTCTATGGCAGGACACACATGTGCTCACACGCTTTCGGCCCCAAATCACGTCTCGCGCATTCACTTGTGCCTCTCAAAAAGCAATGTTCACCGCAGCATACCTGCTCCTTGGCCAGTCGGTAGTACACGTCCCGGCGGTCCTTTGAGCTCCGCCCCATCTTCCCTGTTGTCCTTGTTGTGTAGAACTAAGTGGTGCTGTGCTGCGGTGTGCTTTCACGCAAAAGAGTCTGATGCTGCAGGTGAGCACGTTCCGCCACAATGCTTATGAAAGTGTTTCACCATTTTTCTACATCCATACTCAAACACACACACTCCCTCAAGCACACACACATCACAGATCACAAACATACTCCATGACACTGCTGGCAACGCTGTTGTTTGTGGCGCTGCTGTGTGCGCCGGCAGCGTCGGATGCGCCGGCAGCGACGCTGGAGGAGCAAGCCGCAGATTTCAATTGCGACAGGGCAACATCGCGTCGCGTTCGCGGCGTGCTGACCCAGTCCATCCTGCCGCTGCTGGGAGCACGAGGGCTGCACCTATCTTCCCCAGCCAAGCATAACAACGACAGTCGTGCGGAGCCAGGTTCCGCACTCACACCGAGTTGCCCGCTGGACCCTACGCGGGACGTGTACGCCCGTCAGGATGAGCATCGCGACATGGAAGGGACCACCAAGCTGACGTGCCTGTATTGCGGCAAATCCTTCCGCGGCGAGCCGTTCTTGGACCTCCACATGCACAACCGCCACGCAGGCGAGCTCCTGGTGCCGGATACCGGACCCCTGTGCCTGGCCGATTACTGTGACGCCACCATGTGTGAGACGCAGCTGGAGTATCGCCAGTTTGCGCGCCTGTTCTCTCCCGAGCACGGCGGCAAGTGCGACCCTGACGCCATGAGCCGGCGCAAAGAGAGTTGCGAGCGGCTGCTGCGAGGTGCGTGTTTGTTCGACGCACACGGGGACAACGGTGGCGCAAGCGGCGGTGCTCAAGGGCAGGATGGATCCACTGTGGGCGTTGGTGATGGCGCAGTTGCAGACGTAATCGCACGCGTGTGTGGGCGCGCATCGTGCGAGTACATCGACTATCTGCTGGAGCGGGACGCCCCGTTGTCTGCGTTTCGGGCGCTGTACATCCTGTCGTCGCTGTGTCTCCTGGTCGGCGTGCTCCTGTTCTATTGCCAGACGTGCATCGCCGACCTTGACCGCGACGAAGACGGCTTTTCCACGTACCCTTCCTCACGTGAATCGCGACGCGGACAGGGAGCAAGTGGCACGGACATCAACTACACAGACCGGGTGGCGGGCTGGCTGCGAGCCACCAGCCTTGTTCGGGTTCGCAGGCCCACCATCAACACGGTGTAGCAAGCGAGTCCCTTGCTTGCTTGCTTTGGTAGACGCACTTGTGTCGTGTTGTGTGCTTTGTGTGTGTGTGTGTGTGTGTGCTTGTGTGTGTGTGTGTGTGTGTGTGTTGTGTTGTGTGTTGTGTGTTGTGTGTTGTGTGTTGTGTTGTGTGTTGTGTGTTGTGTGTTGTGTTGTGTTGTGTTGTGTGTGTGTGCAGGTGCAAGTAGCACAGGAAGCATGTGCCACACGGTTCACCACACGCTCTAGTTGATGGAGACATGCCGATTTTTTTAATAACAACAGTACTTGATGTCCTGACCACGCGCACACGTGTGCGGCAACCCACATGTCCGCACGACACATGCTGTGCTATGGTGTGCTTGCTTGCTGGCGCCATGATGCACGTAAGTGCTGCTGTGGGGTTCTCGCAGAAGCGCACCCTCACCACCCTGACGACTCTGTGCAATTCTAGTAAACATTCATTTATCCGAGCCTGATTTTAGGGAGCTGATAATTTTTTGGGCGTGTGGCTGGTCAAAAAATCTTCGACTTGTGCCGCTGCCACCTTCCGTGCCTTTTTCTCCTTCGCACGCGAGCACCCATCCCCCTGAAGACCGCAGCCATGGTGCGTGATGTGTGTGTGTGTGTGTGTGTGTGTGCTTGCTGCATGCTGCTGCCCATGGGCTGAGTGTTGTTTGCTGATGGGTGCGCAGATGCCACCCACGAGGCAGACTTGGGGGAGGTGGGGGTGTACGTTCGTGGGGCTTGGAGTGAAGCAGTTGGGAAGGAGGAAATGGAGAGTCCTGAATGCCGCAAGCACGCACCAGCACACATCGTGAAGAGCAGCCCTGGCGCTGGGGACGTGCATACGTGATGTGTGTGTGTATGTGTGTGTGTGATGTGTGTTGTGAAGGACGGTGATGAGAATGCGAGCACCACGCGCCAACACCACCACCAGGCCACCACGCGCCAACACCACCACCAGGCCACCACGCGCCAGCAGCACGTCCCAGCAGCAGCAGCAGCAGCAGCCACCAGATGATGATGAAGAAGACAGAGCGAACACACACAAGGCGTTGCTGATGCGGGCTGGGAGATGCGATGTGCAGTGTCGCATCACCACCACTTTCAAGCTTCACCACCACTTTCAAGTTGCCACAGCACACCCCCCATGAGCCACTCACTGTGTTGTACTGTTCTGTTTGTATGGCTGTCAATTTGCTTTGCGTTGTTGTCAGGCCGAGACAGCCACCGTTCGCACCCGCAAGTTCCTCACGAACCGACTCCTCAGCCGTCGCCAGATGGTGCGTGAGCGCGCGCGTGTGCGTCTTTGTGGCCCTGGTGCACGGGTATCCCTCACCACAACGTGCTTATGTGTGTGTGTGTGTGTGAGTGCACGTGCCATGGGACGCTGGAAGACAGGATAGGATGTATTGCCCGTGTTTTGTTTTGATGGCTGTTTGTCGTGCACAATGCGCACACTGTACATCCCACACACGTCACCCGAACACATGCACGCGTCTTATCGCTCGCCCTCACACACACACACACATGAACGCGCACGCATGTCATGATTGGTTTAGGTTGTGGACGTCATCCACCCTGGTCTCCCCAACGTCTCCAAGGATCAGCTCCGTGAGAAGCTCGCCAAGATGTACAAAACGACCCCCGAGACGGTCTTCTGCTTTGGCTTCCGCACCCAGTTCGGTGGCGGCAAGGTGAGACCCGCGTTTGTGCTGTTTGTTTGCTTTTTTTTTTGTGTGTGTGTGTGTGTGTGTGTTTCTGTGACGGCTCGCTGCGGCCGCGTGACAAGTCTCACGTCTTCTGTCAACTGTGTGTTGTGGTGAGGCGGCATGGGGAAGTGATGTGATCAGCTGGCCTTCAACCACGTTCCCGCGCGACACCACAACCGCTTAACTTTATGCCCTTTCCCCCTCCCTCTCCCTTCTCTCTTGCTCACGACTGTTTCCTCTCCCTTTCCTCGTATCACACAGAGCACCGGCTTCGCCCTGATCTACGACAACGTCGAGGCTGCCAAGCAGTACGAGCCCCGTCACAGGCTTGTGCGCGCCGGTCTTAAGGATGCCAAGACTGGTTCCCGCAAACAGAAGAAGGAGCGCAAGAACAGGTTCGCATGGCCTGCCACTGCTTCTGTGCTCCTTGAAAGGAGTATTGGCTGTCTTAGTGCTGTGGTTGGTTGGTTCGTGGTCATGTTTGATGTTATGTGAGTTGTTGAGGTTGTTGGCGGCGTTGCTGGTGTTGCTGCTGTGTGGAGCTGGACCTCAACCGTACAGATGGGGCTCCTTTCGTTTCTGCTGCTCACCCGTGCTTACCACTTTGTGGTTCTTTGCTTTTTTTCGTGTCTGATGCAGGTTGAAGAAGTACAGGGCAAAGGAGATGGTCAAGCAGCGCGGTGGCAAGTAAACGTGCTCTCATGCTCGTTGTTTCAACCCGCTCTTCTCTCTCCCTCTCCTTGCTGCTCTTGCTTGGTGTGAATTAAACGACAAGCAAGTCCGTCCCGTCCATCTCAGTGCAGCCGTTGGTGATGCGTGACGTGATGAAACCGTGTTCTACGCTAGTGGAGAGCCATCGGGTGTTGTGTTGCTCGATAACGATGCGCGTTCGTGGCAGTTACAAGCGTATGTACTGTTTGGGATCAACAGCGGGATTGTGGAGAGAGGATCAAAGGACGAAGAGCGACGCGCGCGAGGGGGGAGAGGAGAGAAGCTGGCACACACACACACACACACACACACACACACAGAGGCTCAGGGGAGGAACTCGCTCTTGGCAGCAGCAGCAGCAGCCTTCTTGAGCTTCATCGCCTGCTTGTTCTTCTTGCGTTGCTCTGCCCTCTCTCGTCTCTCCGCCTGCTTCTTCCGCCACTCCGGATCGCTCTCAAGCCGCTGCTGCACTTCCCCTTCAATCTTCTCCACGGTGCCAATCATGTCCAGCGTCTGCGCGTACTTGAGCACCTTGCGCCGCAACTGCGCCGGTGTGTGCTGCTGCTTGTTCAGGTCCAGATCAAGGGACATGGCTTGGAAGTTGGTGCCGTGCTTCTGCAGGCAGTTTTGGATAAACACAACCTCGCCCCGCGAGCAGTACGCCTGGTATGGCTCGTACGCCGCCGCTTGCTCCTCAAGCTTCTTCACAAGGTCCATGTTCAGCTCGTCCGGCGAGATCTTTGTCTCGGGCCGTTTCCTGGACACGCGAAACAAGCGGAAGGGACAAGAAGAGAGAGCGGGGAAAGAAAGTGTGTGTGTGTGTGGGGGGGGGGGAGGAGGCGAGTGTGGAAACAAAACCGATGGCCAGTTGGTGAGCGGGGACGAAGAACAGTAAGGGAGGTAGGGTTATGAAACTTCCGAGAAGGATCACATGGCGTGTGCGCCACGATTGTGTTGACAGCAAAACAATAACAACTGAAAGAACCAACGCAACAACAGCTCCACACACACACACACACACACACACACACACACACACACATGCACACGCACACCTTGCGTTGAGCTCTGTGTTTGGGTCGTTGACGAGGCCAATCGCGGCCAAGTTGTGCTTTGTGGATTTGTGCTTGTTCCATACTTTCGCAATCGCCTCGCTGTTGCAGAGCACACAAAAGAAATGGAGCAAACGTGAACAAGGGTCCGATACAAGCGCAGCACGCATGCGTGTGCCAGACAGCGTTGCAGAACTTCCCTTTCCCGTGCGTCCTAACCAAGCACAAACTCGCTCACACACAAGGAAGCGCAGACGCATGCGTGCACTCAACACACACACACACACACACAAACACACGCACACACATGCATTCACACTCACACACACACACACACACACACACACACAAACACACGCACACACATGCATTCACACTCACACACACACACACAAACACACGCACACACATGCATTCACACTCACTTGACAATTTCTCCCTTTTGTCGCTGCTTTTTGCGGTAGGTTCTCGCTTGTTGCCTCGATTGCTTGCGGTAGTGCCCAGAGCGGAGCTTTCGCTTCTGCCTTGGATTGGCCATCCTGCTTGCTGGACGATGCTGTGTCTAATCACGTCAGGGCGGGAGGGGTTGTGTGCACGTGGTGTTGCTTGGTTGTCTTGCTTGCTGTCTGTTTGTGGAGTCGTGTGTGTGCAATTTTTATGCTGTCGCGTATGATTTTTGGGCCTGGCTGGGTTTTGCTGGCTGCTGGTCCTTCGCGTGTTGTTGGTGAACAGTGCGCGCGGCGCCCTTTCCCCCTTCCCCACTTTTGTTCTCCCCTTGCTGTGCGACGCCCTTGGACTGGTGGCTGTGGCACTTATCGCAGTATCGCGGAGCACGGATCACATCACCCAACGACGACGACAACAGCAGCAAGGAAAACGGCACCATGAGGATTGCACGGGTGCTGCTGAGCAGCCTCATGTTTGTGACGGGCCTGATTGTGTCAACGATGCAGTTGGCGGCGTATGTGCTGCTGCGGCCGATTTCGCTGTCGCTCTTCCGCACTGTCAACGCGCAAATTGCCGTGCTGTTCTGGCTGCAGCTCATCTGGCTCGCCGAGTGGTGGGCCAAGATCGACATGCAGATCTTTGCCCCCAACCAGGAGGTCGCGCAGGCGCTGGAGCATGAGCACAAGGTCATTCTCGGCAACCACCGCAGCGATGTCGATTGGCTCTTCGGCTGGGTCATTGCCCAAAAGTTCGGCACCCTCGAGGTTCGCACTTGTGTGTGTGTCTGTCTGTGTCTGTGTGTGTGTGTGTCTGTCTGTCCATGTGCGATTGCGTGTGTGTGATTGCGGCTTTGTGTGCACGTGTACATGCGTACACACACGTGCGTATGTGCATTATTGTGACTTTGTGTGTGTGGGTGTATGTTTGTTCGTGTCGATGCATGTTCGTGATTGTGTGCCTCTGTCCCTCCGTCATTCCATCCTTCTGTCCCTGCGTGGCTGTCGTGAGCACTCACCTGTTGCTTGCACTGCCACAACGTGCAATGCAAGCACAGGGGTCCAAGTGCTTGATGAAGTCAAGCCTGCTGCGGGTGCCTGGCCTTGGGCTGAGCTGGTGGTTGTCAGATTTTATCTTTCTCAGCAGAAACTGGGAGAAGGACAAGGATCATCTCAACAAGAGCACGCGTGCATTACAGCACTACCCCGTTCCCCTCTGCGTACGCGTGTGTGTGTGTGTGTGTGTGTGTGTGTGTGTGTGTGTGTGTGTGTGTGTGTGTGTGTGTGTGTGTGTGTGTGTGTGTGTGTATGTGTGTGTGTGTGTGTGTGTGTGCATCTGCGTCTGTGTGCGTGCGCGTTGATCACACGCGTTGTGGTTGACTTTTGGCTGCTTCAATCACCCCCCCCCCTCGCTCTTACACCTCCTTCACATCTCCTACCCATATTCTTCCCCCGCCACGTTCGCCTCTGCCCTTGCGTGTGGCAGTTTATGATCTATGCCGAGGGAACACGCATGACGCCAGACAAGCTCAAGGCGTCGCAGGAGTTTTGTCGCGAGCGCGGCCTCCCCGTCTTGAAGGTGCGCGGTTGTCGTTGCCGTGGCTTGCTGCCTCCAACAGTGTGCCGCTTCTCGTTGCTGGCTCTGATCGCGTGCGAGCTGCCGCGGAGCTGTGCTTGCGTGGCGTTGGGGCTGGTTGATATCATCGTGGGAGATTGGGAAGCGTGTCGCCACTGTTTGGAACACCCACTCACTCCCCGGACTGCTGCTGGTGGTGGTGGTGGGCTGTTGTGTGCATGTGTGTGCAGAATGTCATGTGCCCGCGCACCAAAGGCTGGAATCTCGTCATGAAGGAGCTCCGCAATGCCGGTCTGTGGAGTTGTGCAATGGCCGCATGGCTCGCAGCCCGTGGTTCAGTCTCACATGCACGCATCCCGTGGTTCAGTCTCACATGCACGCATTTTTGACACACAAAACACACACATACGCACACACACACACACTCACACACTCACTCACTCACTCATCCACACTCACTCTCACTCACTGCATCTACACACAACTCACACGTATTCACACCTGAACACACGCAAACACGTGCGGTGGCAGTGGACAGCGTGGTGACGCTGACCCTTGAGTTCCCAGACGTGGAGCCAAACCTGTTTACGTTGCTCGCAGGGAAACCGTTCCGCGTGCACGCGTACATGGAGCGCTTCCCCATCGACGCCATCCCCAAGGATGCAAAGGCGTCATCGGAATGGTGCATGTCTGCATTTCAACGGATGGACCACGTGCTTGAGCACCACAACAAGACGGGCACGTTCCCCGGCATCTCAATCAACCGCCCGCGCAGCACCAAAGCGCTCGTGGTCATGGTTGCCTGGATGGCCCTCATCTACGGATCAATCCGTACGTGTGTGCGTGTATGTGTGTTTGTTGTGTGTGTATATGCGTGCGTGTGTATGCGTGTGTGTTTGTCGCGTGTGTGTATGTATGTATGCGTGTGCGTATGCGTGCGTGTGTGTTTGTTGCGTGTATGTATATGTGCGTGTGTGTGTGCGTGAGTGTGTGCGTGTGCGTGTGTACATCCCTGTATGTGCATCCGTGTGTGTGTGATAGTTGTGACAGCCACAAATGCTGTTCGCGTGAAGCGTCGCACCTGTCCTCCATACCCATCCCTTCACACCTGGAACTCTTACCTTTTTGTGCATGGATGACAGTGCTGTACATTGCAATGTGTTCGCAGCCGCTGACAGCGGCCATCACAACCGCCGTCATCATCGGCACAGGTCCGTGCCCCCCCCCCCATGCGCGCAGTCGTGGCTGCCGTTGAGCTGTTTTGCCTTGGTGTAGCTGATGGGTTTGTACGTGCCTGCAGTGTACACCTTTCCAAACTAATTGAAGTCGCCGTTGCCTCTGTTCTTGCACCCATCGCATCCGCCACATCGCATCCACCACTGACATCAACCAACCGTCCCATTGTCCGCGTCACCGCCCCCAAACGCGAAACCACAACCCCCCCAACCCCTCTCCCCAAACACTCTTCAACCATTGACTGAGCAGTTGAGGCAATCATTCAAGTTGGCACGTTCCTCACTTCCAAGATGCGCAAGGTCAAGGCAGCAGCAAAGGCAAAAGCAAAGGCAACACACGCAGCCAAGAAGACAGAATAGTGTACATGCTGTGTTGTGTCACGTCTGTTTGTACGTTGTCCATGTGTACGTGTTGCGTGGTGTGTTCTGACCTTTGCTGTAGCATCTCTTGCATCATGTTATGTTGGCTTGCTTGTGTTTTGCTCCACAAAGTTGTGTTTGTGCGTGTGTGTGTGTGTGTGCGCGCGCGCGCGCGTGCGTGTGTATGTATGTTCCTGATGGTTCTGGTGTCTATCACATCGTCGCCTTGCGCTGTTGCTGTCTTCCACCCCTTTCAAGTCTTTTTTTGCCCCACTTCCCTTGTTGTGTGTGTATCAATTGTAACGAGCACATTCGCATGTTGTGGTTTATGGAGGTGAGATGGTGCGGAGATGCGTTCGCCGTGAGGGGTGTTGTGACGGGGCAGTCACCTGCCAAACACACTCGTGGCCACACAACAGCAACGACCGCAGGCCAGAGCCCCAACAAAGGAACAAGCGCGCATGCGCAAACCAGAACAGCATGGGTCAAGAAACAACGCAGCAGCAGGGAAGTGGGGGCACAAACGCACACGGAGTCAGCACGTGGGCCCACTGGCACAAACACTCAAACACAGCAAAGTTGCGGCAATGACGACGATAACAACGACGACACGGCGACCCCAGCATGCCAGGGGGTGTGCGCGGTCAGTTCTTTGGCTGCCAGTTGTACTCTGTGTACTTGTAGCCAAGCTTCTTCACCAGCTCGTCGCTCTCCTCCTGCCAAACGTTCGAGGGTGGGGCGGTGATAGTGAGAAGGGGTTGCTCAACCAAACCAACAGCGCAAGGTGGAAACGACACACAGCCCATGACAACCAAGACACAACCGCAGCAGCAGCAGCAGCAGCAGAGGCATATGAAGCACACAAACCTAACACAACATGAGCAGCAGCAAACAAAACGGGTTGTACGCACCGGGCCGCGCGATCCAAACTTGTACGGGATGGGTTCGACCTTGCCGGCGTCGATGTCGTGGAGAAGAGGAGTGAAGATGCGCCAGGCCTCCTCAAGCTCATCCCTGGTGGCATGGGCACGCGAACAATACGTGAACACGGATGTTGGAGATTGGGAGGCGGGGGGGGGGGAGCAGAAGCAGATACGGCGGCACTGACACACACGCACACGCACACGCACGCACGCACGCACGCACGCACACACACACACACACAAGTGCCAAGGCATGCACGATCACACGCACACACGCAAGTGCCGGCGCACGCACGATCACACGCACACACGCAAGTGCCGGCGCACGCACGCACGCACGCACGCACACACACGCACACGCACGCACGCACGCACGATCACACGCACACGCACGCACACGCACACACACACACACACAACACACAGCAAGCTTGACGCACGTGCGGACAAAGTGGAGGGCAGAGCCGCGAATGACTTCGAGGACGAGGCGCTCGTAAGCGTCGGGGAGACGCACGCCCTCAAAGCGCTTGTTGTACGACAGGTCAAGATCGGTCTGCAGCAGCGGGAGGTAGGGGATGTTAGGGGAAGGGGGTGGGGGCAAGCATGCGGAAAACACAAAACGAAAAAGGCGAGAGCAACCTGAACGCCCGCAGAAAGGGCGAGGGGATGGGAAGAGACGGATAACCACGTTGAAGCACGCAGTGAACCAACCAACCAACCAACCAAACCTCCCCCTCCTCCTTCTCTTCCTCTCTCAACAGCCTGACCTGTTCCATCTCGAAGGACATGCCTGGCGACTTGACGTTCATCTTGAGGTACACGGCCTCGTCCGGCTGCACGCGAATCACCAGCTCGTTGCGCACCGTCTGCCCAAAGATGTCTGCGGGCTGGTCCTTGAACTGGATGCGCACCTCGGCCTTCTTCTCGTTGAGCGCCTTGCCGCACTTGACGATGAAGGGCACGCCGTCCCAGCGCTCGTTGTTGATGTAGAACACGGCCGTGGCGAAGGTCGGCGTCTTCGAGTCCTTGGGCACGCCCTTGTCGTCCTTGTAGCCCATCGTGCTCTCCTCGTTGCCGGGGATGTTGCTCGCAACATACTGGCCGAGCACAACGTCTGGAAAGCCGCACGGCATGTCGTTGATTGAGCATCAAGCAGCGAGCAAGATGCCGGCCACAGACGCCACGGACACGCACGAGTACAACACACACACACACACACACACACACACACACACACACACACACACACACACACACACACACACACACACATACACACACACACGAGTGCAGGCACAAACGAGCACATCCAAAACGCACAACACACTCACAACACACATAACACATAACACACACGGGGGCATAGATTCTTCCCCACCCCCACCCCCCTCTCCCCTTATCCTCTTGAGCTCGTGTGCACAACGGACCGTCAATCTTGAGGGGCCGGATGGCCTTGAGGACCTTGACCTTCTCGTCACGGATGTCGTCCGAGGCCTGGCTCACGGGCTTCTCCATGGCAACGAGGGTCAGGATCTGCAGCAGGTGGTTCTGCATCACATCGCTGCCGGTGGGGCGAGAGGGAATGGGAGGAGGGGGGAGGGAGGTAAGGAATAGGAAGGGATGGGCGTTGGTGGTATCAAGTAAGAGTGGCGAGGGCACACACACACACGCACAGACACACACACACGCACAGACACACGCACGCACGCACACACACAATGCACACACACACACGTGTGCACGTACCGGATGATGCCAAACTCGTCAAAGTAGCCGCCGCGGCCCTTGGTGCCAAAGGGCTCCTTCATGGTGATGGTCACACACGCAATGTGATCGCGGTGCCAGGCCGGAGAAAGAATCCTGTTGCTGAAACGCAGCAGAATCAGGTTCTGCACCATCTCCTTGCCAAGGTAGTGGTCGATGCGGTAAATCTGGTCCTCCGTGAAGAGCTTGCCAAGATGCTGTTGTGCGTGTGTGTATGCGAGTGAGTGAATGAGTGAGTGAGTGGAGCGTGTGTGTGTGTGTGTGTGTGTGTGTGTGTGTGTGTGTGTGTGTGTGTGTGTGTGTGTGTGTGTGTGTGTGTGTGTGTGTGTGTGTGTGTGTGTGCGTGTGTGTGTGTGCGCGCACGAGGCCGGCGTGATATCAGCGCACACGTTCTCAAATGCGCAAACATACACACCTGCTGGTCGTACTGGCCATCAACGCAAAACCACGTTCAAAGGCACGTGCAGCACTAACGTCGCTGAGCTTTGCAAACGACTCAGAGTCCTTTCCAAAGGGCTTCTCCAGTTGTGAGATGGAAAAACCCCCACTTGCACTTTGACGCAATGTCACTCAACAGCACACACACACACACACACACACACACACACACACACACACTCAACAGCACACACACGCAGACACCCAGACACACACACGGACGCACGCACACATGCAGTCAGTGGGACCTTGAGGAAGGGCTTGATGCGGCCGACGAGGTCGTCGTGGCTGAGCTTGGACCGGGCATAGCCCGCGAACATGGTGTTTGCCTTGTCGATCAAGTCATGCTTGAAGAGGCTCCTGCAGGTGAGGAGAAGAGAACAGCAGCAGAACAATGTCAAGGAACATATGCGTGTGCACAAATGTGCGCATGTGGGCCTCAATGTGGCTTCATGTCAGTTGCGCACATGCACGAACGCAGACAGCCAGACACACGCGCGCAGAATTCAACAGGCATCATAGCACAGGGGAACACCCTCTGAACCCCCGCCTGTCCGTAGGCATGCCACAACAACAGCAGCAACAACAAGTACAACAACAACAGCAGCAACAAACAAAACAACGAGAACAACGAGAACAACAACAACAACAAGAACAACAAGAACAACAAGAACAACAACAACAACAACAACAAGAACTACAACAACAACGAGACACCGCGACGCCTGCATAGAAGGTGACGGACCAAAGGACGGGGTAGATCTTCTTCTTGGCGAGATCGCCCGAGGCGCCAAGCACGACAATGGACAGGTGGGCGCAGTCATCGCACACGCCGTCCTTGAAGGAAGCAAGCACCTGCTGGGCGTCCTTGCTCACACTCATTGCTGCACGTTTGTTGTTTGTTGCTTGATGGATGGGTGGATCTGCATGCACGTTCAGGACACGATCAAAACAATGGTCAGTGATGTTTGTGAGCGATGATGCGATGTGATGTGATGTGATGTGATGTGACAACCAGAGACGCTGTGAAGACATTCACGGCACAACACGACCACAACGCAAACAAAGCGACCCGTTTTCTTTGCATCGCAGCTCCTCCCCTCCCCTCTCTCTTCACTTGCCAACAACAACAACAACAACAACAACAACAACAACAACAACTTACATTAAACAACAACTTAAACAATAACAACTTAAACAACAACCAACAACACCACCACCACCAACACCACCACCACCACCAACAACAACAACAACAACTTAAACAACAACAACGCACACGCACACACACACACATATCCACACACACACACACACACACACACACACACACACACACACACACACACACACACAAACACAACGCACCGTGATCGTTGGCGGCTGTTTCAGTTTCGTCGTCAGATACAGGAAGGCGTGGTGTGTTGTGAAGAATGCTTTGCTTCCCTTTCCAACTCACAAGCGCACAGAGATAGAGAGAGAGGACAGCAAGCAAGCAGCAAGCAACAAGCAAGAACGCAAACCAAACGGAACGCAGCCCCAATCAGTACCGCACAAAAACACAAACACTGAAATCAGCTTGTCGTGACAATTCAGCATATCTTAGAGGAAAACGGCAACCTGTCTCTTCCATCGCGACACGCGACACTCAAAAAAGTGGCAGTACTGCGTATTTTTTTTTTTTGCTCTGCTTCGCCGCTTGCGACGGGCCCAAGCGCACCGCACCGCTTCTTGGCAACAAACAACCAACAACCTCGACAAGGGAGAGAGTGCTTGTGTTGTGAGCAACGACCACCCACCCACGATGGCGGACCAGGTGTGTGCTTGTGTGCGTGAATGTGTGTGTGTGTGTGTTTGTGTGTGCTTGTGTGTGAATGTGAGTGTGTGAATGTGTGTGAATGTGAGAGTGTGCGTGATGATCACCCATCATCCTTCTCTTGGTCTCTGATGGCTTCTGCTACATCTACTTTGTGTGCTTACATGCTCACACGCACATGTGCACACACGCAATGCACACTCAAATGTACACTCACGCTCACACATGCACATGCTCGCACATCTGCACACCCTTTACAAAGGACCCGATCACCATCCCAACGGCTGCCATGCCGGATGACGATGATGAAGAGGACAACCTGCACGAGGAAGAGGCAACAGCTTCGCCTCCTTCCGCCGCAGATCAGCAACAAGACGACACGCAAGAAGACGAGGTGTGGCGTTCATGTATGAGTGTGCTGCTTTTGTACGCGTGCTTGTACCTGCCTGCCCACCTACTCAGCTGTCAATCGCTCACTCTTGCTGTGATTGCCGTCATGGTCCCCTTACACACACACACACACGCACGCACATTCACGCACATTCACGCACACACACACATACACACACACACACATACTCTCTCTCTCTCTCACTCACACACACACACACACACGCACCCACACACACACACACACACACACACTCTCTCTCTCTCTCTTTCTCTTTGTCAAAGGACGACAAGGAAAGCAAGGAAGCGAAAGAGGCTTCCACAGCGCCCGTGTCGGCTGATGATGCTGAAGCACCGAAGGAAGGTGGTGCCCAAGAAGAAGGCAAAGACACGGAGGATGCTGTGCCTCTCGCTGAAGACAGCGACACCACCACAACCACCACCGGTGACAACACACGAACCAACCAACCAAAGCAACAACAAGAAGACAAAGATCAGCAGCAGCAGCAGGCTGCGCCCGCCATGAAGCCACGACCACCTTCGTCTCGACAAGGTGCAGGTTCACGGCCGGGCAGCCATGCCCTGCGGCGAAAACACCGGTCATCCAAGCCCATTGATGATGACAACAGCAACAACAGCAAGGTCGATGGGGCTGGCAAGGGCAGCGAGCAGCCTGGAGCCGAAGCTAGTGCTGATGCCACTGACAGTGCGAGCGTTGACGCTGGCGATACCAGCGGTGAGGCGACACAGCCCGTGCCGGCAGCGGACGAAGGGAAGAAGGAAGAGGATGCTGCTGATCACGATGCCGCGGCCACCACAGAGGCGTCGACCGACCAAACCGCGGCTGAGGACACCCCGGATGCCGACGCCCCTGCGACCACAGAACAAGCTGACTCGGGCGAGGCTGCGCCAGAGACCGAAGTGGCCGCAGATACCACGGCAGACACAACAGCGCCGGCGCAACAGCAGCAGAGCGACGACGCCACTGACGCCGCCACCAATGCTGACTCCAACAGTGTGGCAGCCACCGCCACCGAAACGGCAGGCGATTCCACGCCACAAGCTGAGCAACAGCAGCCGGAGCAGCAGGAACCGGGACGCGAAGGCGACGCTGGTGGCAGCACTGAACATAAGGAGGAACGTGATGCCAAAGCGAGTGGTGTCAAAGATGCAGAGCAGGCGCAGGGCGCTTCAGCAGACACCAAGACTGAGGCTGAGGCTGAGGCTGGTGGTGGTGATGACGAAGCCACCAAGGACCGCGCAGATGAGGAGGAGAAGAAGGAAGCAGTGGAGGAAAAGGCGGACGAGCAACGCGCAGACACGGAACAGCAGCAAGAAGACAAACAGCAGGCAGACAAGGAGAAAGGCGCCGCCACAGCCGACAAGGGCAAGGCAGCACAGGGAGGAAAGGGAGGCAAGGATGAAGCTGCTGAAGAACAGGAAGAGGAGCACATGGATCCCAGCGCGTACTACGACACGGACGGGCAGTCGTGTGCAGCGGCTGCAGGTGACCTGACACCTCAAGCCATGGAACTGCACCACAGCTATGGGTATGACGCACACAAGCACGACAACCTGCACACGCTGGACAAGGAGACGGTCATGTTCATCTCGGGGGCATATGTCGTCTTCCTGAACCTCAAGACCAAGGAGCAGCAGTACATGCGCTCGGCGTCCGGCGGTGCTGTGGCGGCAGTGGCCGTGCACCCGTCGCGCAAGTTCTTCGCCGTCGCCGACAAGGGCGACAACCCGGCCATCACCGTCTTCTCGTATCCGGACAAGCGCCGGTATCGCGTGCTGCGTGGCGGCGCGCTCACGGGGTTTGCGCACCTGTGCTTTGACAACACGGGGGACAAGCTGGCCTCCGTGGCCACGGCACCCGACTACCGGCTCACCGTGTGGGACTGGAAGGAGGAGAGCATCGTGCTGCGCACCAAGGCGTTCAGCAGCGACGTGTGGCGCGTCACCTTCTCGGCATTCAACCCGGGGCAGCTCACCACCTCCGGGCAGGGCCACATCCGCTTATGGAAGATGGCCAACACCTTCACGGGCCTCAAGCTGCAGGGCCAGATTGGCAAGTTTGGGCGCACCGAGCTGTCGGACATTGCCGGCTACGTGGAGTTCCCGGACGGCAAGGTGCTCAGCGGCTCCGAGTGGGGCAACCTGCTCCTGTGGGAGGGCGGCTTCATCAAGTGCGAGATTGCGCGGGCGGACGGCAAGACGTGCCACCAGGGCGCGGTGGAGGCCGTGCTCATCCTCGACGACTCCGGCGACGTCGCCACCGCGGGCGCAGACGGCCACGTGCGCGTGTGGGACTTTGAGACGCTGGACGGCGCCGACCGCCCGCACGACTCGCCCTACTTCGCCATGGAGCCCCTGTACGAGCGGCGCCTCGCCCCAGACGCGCACGTGCGCTCGCTGGCAAAGAGCCTGGAGCTCGGCGAGGAGGACACGGAGACGGTGTACTACGCACAGGACGTGACGGGCCGCATCTGGAAGGTGGACCTGTCCCCGAGCCCAACAACCCGGCCACCCGTGTCGCTCATGCAGTTCCACAGCGGGCGCGTGGTGGCTGTGGCCGCGTCGCCAACGCACCACCTCGCCGCCTCCGCCGGCACAGATGGCCGCCTGCGCGTGTACGACTACGTGCGGCGCAAGGTGGCGTGCACGTGGAAGTCTGAGGAGCTGCCAGACCTCGCCTGCCACTGCCTGACGTGGGCCAACCGGGCCGTGGACGCGGAGGGCCGCACCCTGTTTGCGGGCTTCTCCGACGGCGTCGTTCGCCAGTTCCGCCTTGCCAAGCGCACGCGGCTCGTCCTGACCAAGGTGGCAAAGCCCTTCAAGGGCCGTGTGGACCACGTCGCCCTCACCCCTGACGGCGGCCGCCTGTGCGTCGTCACAAACGATCCAGAGAGCATCGCCGCCCTGGTTGCTGCGCGCGTGCACCACGACGGCGAAGCCGCCGAGCGCGACGCAGCCGAAGATGCAGCCGCAGTGGCTGCCCTGGCCAAACAATACGCGTCTGCGTGTTTTTTCCTGGAGGTGGATGCGCTGGAGCTGCGGCCCATCGGGTTTGTGCTCATTGGGCAGCGGGTGAACCGCGTTCGCTGCTCCGCAGACTCCAAGGTGCTGCTGCTGGCGTGCGACGCCGCCAAAGTGGTCGAGCTTCGCGTCGCCGGCCACGCAGACCGCACCAGCGTGCACACCTTTGAGCTGCCTGCACTGGACCGGCGCACATACACGTTCAACTCCATCATGCACATCCTGGAGCCGCCGCCGGAGCCGAAGCGACGCGCATCCAAGGCCGGCGGTGACAAGGAGGGCGCCGATGGCGACGAGCACGGCGACGACGGCAGCGGGGACCGTGGTGGTGGTGGTGGTGATGATGATGATGACGAAGAGGGCGCCCAAAAGGACAAGAAGAAGGGGAAGAAGAAGAAGGCCCCCAAGCCCGTGCCCAAGTTTCTGCCCACGGACGCGCCCGTGCTTGACGCGTGGTACGGCGGCGACGGCAGCAGCAATGGCACGCTCATGCTGACGGCCGGTGGGAAGGAGGCCGGGTACGTGTACGAGTGCAGCTGGGAGATGCCGGAGAAGCCGCTGATGGCCCACGACGTTCGCGGCATCAGCGACAAGGGCGCAACGGGTGCTGGTGGTGGAAAGGGACAGGGAAAGCGCCCGCAGTCGAAACAGCAGCAGTCGCGCGCACAGGACGGCGGCGCGCCCGGCAAGCTCTCTCGACAGGGCACGTCGTCGTCTCTCACCGGGGGCGGCGGAGGTGGAACGAATGGCGCGAGCAACAGCAACAAGACAAGCAGCAATAGCAACAGCACTGGCAACAACAAAGCTGGTGGTGCCGGTGCCGGTACGGGTGCGGGTGCAGCCAAGGCGCCCGTGCGGCCCGCGGCCAGCGATTGCGTCCCATTGCCGTCGCGCAACGGATTGCTGCTTGCAGGCACAGACGGCAGTATGCGGTTGTTTGACACGCCCGCCTTCAACTCGCACTGGGTGCTTGGCATGCACGACATTTCTGCGGCTGCCGCCGACGCGCGTGGCGTGTGCGTGTGCGTGTCGTGCGATGGCGCGTACGTGCTCACCGCCGGCGCTGACGGGGGCGTGTTTGTGCTGAAGCTCAACGCATTTGATGGTGTGTCGTCCAGCACGCTCCCTGCGCAGGAGGCAACCGAGCTTGGCGAGAAGGACGTCGGCACGCCCGTGGCGGACATCCTGGACCCGGCGAGCTACAGCATCGAGGAGGACCTGCAGAAGGCGGAGCGGGACTCGTTTGTGGCCGCGGCCGAGCGCAAGAAGCAGAGCATGCGCAGCAGCGTGTTGCAGCTGCGGCGGGAGTTTGAGCGCCTGCTTGCACGCAACGCGGCGCTGCCTGCATCGCAGCGACTGCCGGCGGAGGCGTTTGTGATGAACCTGTCGCTGCGCCACGACATGGAGGAGCGGAAGAAGGCCGCGGTGCAGCAGCTTGAGCGCGAGATGGCGTGGGAGCTGGAGAAGGCGCGCATTGGGCACCAGAAGCTGCGCAAGCACTTTATGGATGACGTGGCGCAGCCGCGCGTGGAGATTGCGTGTCTGAAGCGGTGTGAGGCCGTGGCTGGCTTCCGCACGCCGCAGCTGTCGGATGCGTTTGTCAAGTCCAACTCGGCGCTGGTCAAATCTGTGACACGCATGTCAACGCTCATGAACCGCGCGCGCAAGTCTGTGACGCGGCGGCAGGAGCGGGCGGAGTTCCACAAGCAGATGGCGGAGTCGCGGCTGCGGCACCAGCAGCTGCTCGAGCAGCAGGCGCGGGAGGAGAGCAAGGCGGCACAGGCAACACAGGCCGGCAGGGGCGAGGGCGGGTCGGCGACGCTCAACGCCACGCAGCGGCAGCTGGCAGCGTCGCGGGACAGGAAGGAGGCGGAGAGGAGGAAGGCGGAGGAGCGGCAGCGGCGGCGGTCGGAGATGCGCGCACGCATGGAGGAACTGATGAAGGTGAAGCCGGACCCGAAGAAGATTGACCCGAGCGACGAGGCGAAGATCAAGCACCTGCGGCAGAACATGGGCGACTACAAGCTGAAGACGTCCAAGGACTACTTTGTGCCTGTGGAGGAGCGGGTGAACACGGCGAAGAAGCGGGACCAGATCATGGCGCTGCGCAAGCGCATCTACGACGCCAAGACCATCTTCAACAGCCACATCCTGACCCTGCGCCGCCACAAGGTCGATGCCATTGAGAAGATCAAGGTGTGCCGCGACCTTCTGCGCGTGCTCTATGCGCAGCTTGGCCGCCCAGAGACCGACCTGCCGGAGGTTCCCAAGCTACTTTCCTCGGAGTTCCCTGAGCGGCGCGATGACGTCACGCCAGAGCGCCTGGCGAAGTTCAGGGTGGAATACGAGCAGCAGCTGCTGCGCGAGCGGGAGGAAGCGGCCAAGGCGCGCAGCGGCGGGTTTGGTGGGTTTGGCGGGTTTGGCGGTGGTGGCGGTGGTGGCGGTGGTAGTGGCGACAGCAAGAAGACGGCGGGCGATGGCGCAGATGGGAGCAGTGGTGACGGTGCTGGCAAGGGCGGAAGCAACGCTCCTGGTGGTGGTGGCGGTGGCAGCAGCGGGAATGGTGAGCTGAGCAGCCGCCCAAGCCTGACTGATGTGGCGCGCCCACGCCGCCGCAGCACCATCTTCCTGCCGACGCCGAGCCGTGGTGGCGGCGGCGGTGGCGGCAACGTCGCTCTTGCGCACATGGGCGGAGACGAGACGCGGCTGCGGCGGGAACTGGCCATGGAGTGCGATCGCCTTCACAACCGCATTGACGACATCATCAAGCAGTTTGACGAGAAAGTCTTGCAGGTACAAGATTCTGAGACTGTGGTTGCTTATTTGATTCAATTCTTGCAGGCAACTGTGCGCTCTGGCATGCATGCACGCGCACGACAACATACACACACACGCACACACACACACACACACACACACACACACACGCGCACGACAACATACACACACACACACACACAAACACACGCAACTATGCTACTCGATACACCCTTGCGTCTGCATGAATCATGCTGTCATGACTGGCTCACTCTCGCACGATGCCATCCCATGTTACGCATCATCACCCATCCTTGTTTCACAGCTGCTGCGCACAAAGCGAGACACAGAGGTGCGCATCAAGTTTGCAGAGTACATGCACGTGCTCTGCTATCAGGAACTCGTCCATCTCAAAGTCTTTGACATTCGCGAACAGGTGCAAAGAAGGTGTTGTGCTTGAGAGTTGTGTGTGCTGTGAATGATGATGTTTGCGTGGGTTTGGGTTTGTGTGCGTTTGTATTCGTGTGAGTTGTGTGTGAGCAAGTTTGTGTGTTCATATGCGTGCGTGTGTCTGCATGTTGATGACACGCACACACATACACTTTCTCAATCGCCCACTCACTCACTCGCTCACTCACGCGTACTCGTCTGTGCTGCCGCTTCCGCTTCCGCTTCCACTACCCCACCCAACACACACACACACACACACACACACACACACACACACACACACACACACACACACACACAAACAGGAGCTGGAGAAGGTGCGTGACGCGAAGGAGAAGGAGCTTGAGGCGTGCCAGGAAGCGAACGACAACGCGACGCAGACGTATGCCGCCCGCCAGAAGGAGCTGGCACGCCTGCAAACGCAGGAGAAGCAGCTGCATGCAGAGTTTGGTGCGCTGCTGGGCGACGGCCACCCGTTTGCCAAGTTCCTGACGCGCATGTTTAAGCGGCGAATCAAGCGGCGCCGGCGAAAGAGCGGCGACAACGGCAGCAAGGGCGGGCGCGGTGACGGTGACGGCGATGGTGATGAGACGGACGACGAGGAGGATGACGATGATGATGACGACTACTTCAGCAGCGACGACGACGACTACCTCGACGATGACAGCGACATGGAGGACTTTGACGACTCTGTGTGCCCGGCCGGGTGCGACCCGTCTGCATATGAGCGGGTGGCAGCGCTGCGCGAACGGCGGCTGGACATTGAGGAGGCGATTGCCGACGTGAAGCAGCAGACGGACAAGGTGAAGAAGGAGACAGACAGCACGGCGAAGCGGCTGAAGACGCTGCAGAGCGCCCTTGAGCGTGCGGAGAACGACATTGCCGCGTTCCAGGTGGAGAAACAGCACAAGCTCAACGAACTCCACGTCGCCGTTCCTCTTCGGGCCAGCCAGATTCACTTTATCGGTGTGTGTGTGTGTGTGTGTGTGTGTGTGTGTGTGTGTGTGTGTGTGTGTGTGTGTGTGTG